CTTTATTATATTAATCTTTGCACAGAAATTTTAAACTTTTAATATATCATAGATCTTTATTATATAGTTTTATAAAACCAAACTTACCCATAATTAAAAGAAAATGCAAACATCCATTCAATTGCCTCTTTTTCAAGAATGTTTCTGTTACCCAGGAAAGTATCCTAGTGTCCCTTTGGTCAGTGCCCTATCTATCACATCCTCCATTTCAGACACTACAGATCTGCTTTCTCTTATTGTAGATGATTTTAATGGTTCAAAGGCAATGGATATTTCATATATACCCTTTTGTGTGTTGTTTCTTTCATTTAGCATAATGCACTTGAAACCTATTCTTCTTAATGTACATGTCAGTAGTTCTTGTTATTGACAAATAGCCTTCCATTGCACAAGTGTATCATGCATAATTTGATTACCAATATCTCATGTTAGATGGTTGAGTATTTTTCAGCTTCTAGCTATTATGAAAAAACTATTGTCAACATTGATCTGTATGTTTTTGTTAACTTACAAGTTCTTTCAAATGGATGACTAGGAGTAGAAATTTTCCCTCAGTGTAGTCAGACCATTTTACACACTCATCTACATGAATGAGAATCTTTCTTTTCTCAACTTTTCCAATTCTTAGTATTGTCAGTCTTTTCATTTTTAGTATCTAGTGGTTGTGTAGTAGTACTTCATTCTAGATTCAGTTTGCATTTCCTCATGGCTAATAGTGATGGGTATCTTTTCATGTACTTTTTGATAATTCATATATTTTCTTTTGTCAGATGTTCATTAGCAGAAATTATTTTGCTCATTTTTGAATGTGCAATTTGTTTTCTCATTATTGTCATCATACATATTTTGATGCAGGCATGTCCTTTATCAGATAAATTTATTGAAAATATCTTTTCACTTTATGTGCCTAACCTTTTCTTTTCTGCTCTTTCTATTTTGAAAAACAGAAATCCAATTTTTTTTTCTTTTTATGGTTAGTGAATATTGTTTCATGTCTATGAAATTCTTGTTTATCAAAGTTAGGAAGACATTCCCCTGTGCATCCTTCTAGAAGTTTTTCAGTGTGAGGTTTTACACTTGACTCATTTTGAGTTCATTTTTCCAATTAAGTGTGACTTATATAATGAAGTCTGTTGTTTAGCAAGTGGTTTCACTGTTCAAATGCCATTTGCTGAAAAACTGTCCCTTTTTTCTCTTCCTTTGAATGGCCTTTCATTACTGAAAAGTAGTTGCCCATGTATAAGTATGGGTCTGCTTCTGAACTCTATTTTTGGCTCACTGATGGTCTGTATATATTTATCTCTTTAACAAAAGATACTGTATTACCTAATATTATACACTTTTATAGTGTATCTTAAAATCTCAGACACCAAAACCTATGGATTGTTACTTTTTTCAATATCATTTTGGCCATTCCAGATATTTTGTATTTTTATGTAGATTTTAGAGTCAGCTTCTTAATTTGCATCAAAAACTGGGAATTTGATTGAGATTGTATTGAATTTAGAGATCAATTTGGGAAGAAATGACATCTCAAACTGAGTCTTGTAGCCTATGAACATATTTCACCTCTCTGTTTAGATAGGTCTTCTCTAATTTTTTTCAGGAGTGTTTTAAAGCTTTTTAATATACAGTTTTGCATTTCTACTAAACTAAGTTTTAAGTGTTTTATGGCATTATAAATAGTATTTTAAAATTTATATTCCAGTGTGGCTAATATATACAACATACATTGATTGTCAGATATTTACTTCATATTCTGTGACCTTAGCAAATTATTATATAATACAAATCCACTGCCCATCTCTAGACAAGGAGCCTAGGCCTAGGGCAGACTCACAGATAAACATAGAAAGTCAACTAGTTCATTTTAAAGCCTGCTCAGAGCTGCTTCATAGAGTTTTCCCACAGTAAAAGAATTATAATCACATAAAAATTATAGAAAATTTTGCCTGGATGAGAGAATTTGCATAGAAATGATATTTGAACTGGGCTTTAAATAATAAGGAAGAGTTTACATATTCAGGAATGTGTTGGAGGAGAAAGAGAGGTTGTTGGGTAAAATATTTCAGGCAAAGTAAACAGTATGGAGATCATTTGAACACATCAGATGGCATAGTTTACCTTTGTGCCAAGACAGAAAAGAAGCTGAGTGTGCAAAAATCAAAGTTTGAGTAAAGTGAGCAAATCCCCTCCGCTGCACCAAAGTAATCACGTGCATATGGGAAAAGTACAAGGAAATTACTTATCATTGCTGCTCAAAAATGTCATAAAGTCAGGATCCCCTTCCTGGGAACCAGACTGTATGTAACAGTCTCCTTCAGACTAATTGCAAATTGTTTTAGAGATACACAATATAGTTGTATTTTATCTCTGGGAGTGGAATAGGTATGTTACCTCTCTAAGCACAAGTGATATATATACAGACACTTTGCTCTAAATGTTTGATTTTCTAGCAACAGCTCCAAACTGTGTGTGTGTCAGGGGATGTGTCAGTTCTGTCAACTCAAGGCCCATTCAGCTGTCAATTCATTTATGGATCAAGCCATTGATGTCATTAGCACCCTTATGACCCAGTCGCCTCTACAGGCCCCGTCTCTCTATATTGCTACACTGGGGATCAAGTTCTCAATATGTGAATCTCTAGGGGGATGCTTTCTATTTAAACTAAAACTCTACATCCTAGCTTTCCTCTAATGTCTATTTGATACATGAATTTTTATCTTATGGATACTCAATATTTGTCTTAAATTTTGTGTATGATCTTTATATCTCTCCCTCCTCTCTCTCATCCCTGTTCTTTTCCTCTTTCCTTCCCTGCCCTTTGAGACTATAGAAAAGTATACTTTTACATACTTTTGACGTGAAATAATTACTTTCATAGTTACATAGTACTTAGGATCCCTTTAATAAATTGAAGACTTGTTAGATTAAAATATAGTAAAATCAGCATTTGATGAATGTTTACTACTCTGTGGGCTATCCATCATTAGCAGAACCTATAATACTGAATTTTTTTCTTTATGCTTTCTATATCAGTGATTACTCTTTTTTGTTGTTGTTCTGAGTATGATTATATAGCAAAACGTACTAATACCTAAGCATTCTAATTTTGTTTCACTTGCAATAAAATATAATAGCTATTTTTTCATAAAACCTTTTAGTCAGATAACTGTTTCTGATTCTGGCCCTTACTTGATGCACTGAAAGATACACTGAGAATGCATCTAGGCTTGTGATGTGGCTCGCAAGAGCACTTGTCTAGCATGCAATTGGATTCAAATTCCAGCATGGAAAAAAGCAAAACAACAACAAAGAATGCATTCAAACCAAATTTTCCTTATAAACTGCTTTAGATTTGAAGGGAATAAGAGATTCAGTAGATTGGTTATTAAATATAGAGTCTGAAGTGCTAAAGAAAGTTAAAATGTATTGAACTAGAATGATGATTTTATTTAGAAAACAGCATTATCCAGATCCTCTGCCAAATATTTCATGTGAATAATTTAACTTATTATTTATGTTATGCTTTTCTTGCACATAATCTATTTTGAAAAATAACAGTGATTACTACCATTTAGGGGCTATGTATCAGGAGCCAAGCATTTTGGTTACATTCTCTCTAATTCTTACACCTGTGTTCAAAGGAAACAACCATCTTCATTTAATAGATGAGGAAAACAGACTCAGGAAATGGAGTCACTTGGCCAAGTTTCTTTATAGTTTGTCAACGTGTGAGAAGGATTTGGATCATGGGTCACTCTGTTCCCCCTCTTACTCTTCACTTTATGGCTGAAGTACCTGCTTTCACATGTCATAAATATATATTTTGGTGGAAACTATTTTAAAGGAAGTTTATAAAAAGAACAAAACTGAATTATTTCTTTTTTGTTGTTACTTTGTAAAATAATTTAATAAGTTGAAGTATTCATGAAATATACATGTACTCTGTTACATATTTTGTATGCAGTTCCAGGTGGCTTCTTTTCACTCTGTGCAGCCATCGGTGGACCTGTATGGTTGTGGTGACGGTGTACCTATGGCACAAGTGCCACTGGGGGCCGTGGGTATTACTGAAAGCTCTGAAAGTCCAGCCTCACTAGGGAGCAATATGTGATTAGCTAACAGATAGTATCTTTGTCCTGATCCTTATTTTAAATGGAAAACATGTCACATTTCACTCAAGTGTGATGTTCACTACTTTTTATTTGATTAAAACATCCTGTTTCTAGGTAGCCAGGAAGTTTTTCATGTCATTAATGGAAGTTGAAGTTTATTCCATTGCATTCATTGAGCCATTTGTATTACTTGTTCTTTATTTTGTTAATGTATTTAATTAGGATGGCTTTTTCTAATGTGAAACACCTCAGGAAAAGTGAATTGTATATGATATATTTATATATATATATATCCAGACTCGGTTTGATTAAAATTTGCTTATAGGCTTCTGAATCAATATGCATAAACAGCTACTTATTTTACTTGCTTGTAATACTTTTGTGTGGTTTTAGAATTGGATTTTAGCTCTCTGTGTCAGATAAGTTAGTCTTTTTAGGTTCTGAGGATAACACTCTGGGAAAACAGTGGCTTTATTCCGGAGCACTGATGATATCATTTTATTGTATCCTGGATTTCACTAGGGAGTTGGATTATTACTAAGTCATCTCTAATATTTCTGTAACTGCATCTAATTTTTTAATGTTTATGATAATTTGCATGGATTACAAAAAAATTATTGTACTTCCAAGACAAAAAAAATTATTCTATCTCAAAATACAGATAACAGCTTGTACTGTATAGCTATGGTTTACTGCTAGTCATTTTTATCTTTAAGGATTCAAAAACTTTGTTGCAAAACAAAGTCATTCTTTGAATATTCTAGGATAAATTTCAAAATCAAGTTCATTGGCATAAATTAATGAAGTATGTATTGCTGAATGCATTATAAACGTAGCATAATGTTTTCTATTTTCTCTTGTGTCATCTGTTTCTTTCAACAGCATGCTTGCAAGACTATACAGTTAATTCTGGGACCCTTACTTCTCCAAACTTCCCCAGTAACTACCCTGATAACTATGAATGCATTTATAGGATTACAGTGGAAATTAACCAACAGATTGCATTACATTTCACCAATTTCTCCTTGGAAGATGGTATTAATGCAAACTGCATAACAGATTTTTTGGAAATCAGGTAAGCATCTTTATTTCATTATAATATTTTTCATTATTTGCATAAATAATCTTTTCTGGAAAGATTAAAGAAAAATATGGAAATTTTGAATCTTTTTGCTGTGTACTTTCCTATTAAAGATAAAATTTGTTACTTGAAGTATGGTATACAGAAAATCACACAAAATTCAAAAGTCATTTTAAAGTAATTATTTTATTGGAAATATTTGGAAATAAACTCCAGATTTTGTTTGGGTAAAGAAAACAGAGATACTATTACTATGAAATCAGATATGTGTTATTGTTGAATATCTACTTTCTTTATGTAAAATCAATTTAAATTCTAGAATGTTTACTGCCCGCTTAATATAATTAAATTACAAAAATGATAGCAATCTTAAAGGTTTTACAAGATTTGTTTTTATTTTTAATAATAGAAGTCAAAGCTTATAAATTTCTTTTTTTTATTTAAAGAGAAAAAAAGAAAAGACATTAAAAAACAAAGCAGTAAAAGGGTACAAGTAATACAAAATTTCAAGAAAAAAATATTCAGTGAGAAATCACCAGTTAATAGGTTACATATTATCTTCCCAGTAACAGTTGTCCAAAAGCTTGTGAATTTCAATAGGCATTTTTTTCATTCCCTGGCACTTTGAAAGAATGTGATGTAAGAGCTACATACAAAGGAAAGGTGCACTAACTTATACATTGCTATCTTACCACATCATTACATCAAATTATATTGAGCTACTCAGTTATATGTATCTCAATCAAATTTTTTATTTGGCATTTTAAAGCTGGAGCCTTCCAATATCTTATTGTAAAATTTATTATATGATCTAAAGTAGGGCATTTGGACTCATACTATTTTATAACATTTATTATATGATACAAAGGTAATAAATTATAATTGTATATCATACTAAAGTGATATAATTTTTAATTGATATCAAGGAGTCAATGAACTTTGATGTTGAATTTATTTTGGTTTGAAAAATACTATAGATTATAAACTAGATTCAAGGCCCCCATGGGTAAGGAAGGAATTATTTTCTAGAATTTTGTCAAAGTGTCAAACTGATACATTAACTTTTGAGAATTTCCAAGGAAATTAGAAGGGAAAATTTTACCAGAAATAGTGGCACATACCTATAATGCTAGCTCCTGGGGAGGCTAAAATAAGAGGATCCCAAGTCCAAGGCTAGCCTGGACAACTTAGTGAGGCCCTGCCTCAAAATAAAAAAAAGTAAAAAGAGCTGGGAATGTGTTTCAATGCTCCCTCTATTCAATCCCCAGTAACTGGAAAAATTAAAATTTCTTTGTAAAATTAAGCAAAATTTGTTTATGCTGCTAATAATTATGGTTTCCATATTCTGAATTTTTTGACATACTTGCCAGAGGCTGTAAGGTGATGATTAAACACATTCTCTCAGTTTACGGATGTTAATAAGAGGCCATGCCAGTCATAGTGATAGCTATTCTTTATTAAATTATACAAATGCTGTTTAATACAAATCTGAAAACTTGTGTCTTTAAAAGTAATTTTAAGAGAAGCTAATTGATCAGATAAAATGGCCTACTTATGATCCTGTAGTTTAAATTATGTTAAATGTTTATTAGTAATATTATCACTAACCTAATAAATTTTCACATCTTCATTCTGTCACAGGGATGGAGGCTATGAAAATTCACCGCTTGTGGGAATATACTGCGGCTCAATTCTACCTCCAGTAATCATTTCACACAGTAACAAACTGTGGTTAAAATTTGAAAGTGATGTGCTGTTTTCAAGCTCTGGATTCTCAGCTTACTGGGATGGATCATTAACAGGTGAGTAGGAAACAGTTTGAAGAATCCAATTCACTGGTTACTTGACTCTCAAATTCTCATTTTCTGTTCATCATCTCTGATCCATTTTTTTTCTAGCTATGTTTGTCATTATTCTTTGTGATGAATTTAATGTTGATATTTTTACTTAATAGCAGTTATATATTTTGAAAGAGAGGTGAAAAGCTCTAGCTCCTTGGCATAGTTCATCAAGTTGAACATCTTAATTAGAAAATGTAATTTAATATGATTATAGAACTGGAATCAGAATGCCTACTCTTTCATGATGAAGTTTTGCTTTGTGACTTAAAGAAGAGCACTGTAACACCAGTTTGGTACAGACAAACTTGCTTTTACTAGAAAGAAAAGGTGTGTATCAGTCCATTTGTTTCTCCTGTAGGTTGTGGGGGCAACCTCACCACCTCCACAGGCATATTCACGTCTCCCAACTACCCAATGCCTTACTACCACAGCTCTGAATGCTACTGGTGGTTGAAATCCAGCCATGGCAGCCCATTTGAACTGACCTTCAAAGACTTCCACTTGGAGCATCATCCTAACTGCTCTTTGGATTATCTGGCTGTATGTATAATGTTTCTCTTGTGTATCTGATTTTCTCATCGCACACAGCATAGATAGTGCATTGATTTGTATTTCTGAAATTCATGAAGGGACATTTAAGTGGAACATACACATATTAAATTTAAACAAAATAAAAATATTAGAAGAAATGTGATAAAAATGACAGGTATATTATGTACTGAATAGTTTAATATACGAAGTATTTAAAATACTTTGATATTAGTTAAAATATTAAACATGCTTAAAAGGGTTATGGAATTTATTACAAGCATGCTCTATATTATTTCTACATATGCACTAAAAACAATTTAGAAGACAATTTTGATGAGTTAGACAATATGATTAAAGACATCCAGCTAAGATGATTTTACAATACCAGCAATTCATAATTGTCATAGAATATACATAGTATACATATATATAATATATAGTATACTAAAATGTATTAAAGTGTCACTATTTATAAACCATGGAATCAAAAAGAAAAGAGGACGATTGCCATCAACCATAGACTCAAAATATGTGTCAGACTATCACTTTCAATGTTTAGACTTCAACCCAGTTGACATGCTTACTGCCATACACATTTGTGGCTAAAATGTCTGCGTTTATAGCCTGCATTTACATACACTTAAGTGTAATTCTTAAATATATTTTATTTCAGGACTGTTTTTGCTATATACCTGCATCTTCTCCACTTCTTTCCTCCAGAATCCTTTAGATAACATTTATAACAACAGCCATCTGATATGTAAAATGTTTTGTTAAAGGTTTATGATGGCGCAAGTACCAGTTCTCATCTGCTCACCAAGTTGTGTGGGGATGAGAAGCCACCTCTCATCCGTTCTACTGGAGACAGTATGCTATTGAAACTAAGGACTGATGAAGTTCAGCAAGGAGGTGGCTTTAAGGTCGAGTACTCCCAGAGTAAGTACCTACTCCAGCAGTTCATTGCCTATAGTGGGCCTTCAGTCTGCTCGTGAAACAAACTGAGATGAGTATAATCCATCATTTTGAGATACTGAAATTAAACTTAATTTCTTATGTGAAAAATTTAACTTCATTTGCAGGAGAAATGTGTATGCATTAAACTTAATCTCATCTAACTAAAGCTTCTTGCAAAGTGTAGAAACTTAGAAGAGTAATATGCTAAGATATTGCAACCCAAATGAAGATCAGTATACGAGCTAAATGACAAGAGTTTATTAAAATTGGTATCACACATTAAGATCTTCTATTTGGACATGATTTCATTGCACAAAGTGGTCTCCCATCTTAGGTCTTTTCTTCTGCCTTAAAAAGTACCTTAGTTTTATTAAGAGAAGTTGTGCTCCTTCTGAGTTAAGTGCAATGGTATCTTCTTTACTATGGAAAATTCTGGACCATTTAAAAATCTTTCCCTGCAATAATGCAAGTAGCAAAAGTCAGAGAGCATCAAATAAAAAGGTCTTGGGGTTTGTGTCCTGGTCCCTAATTAGAAGAAAAGGTCACATTTCTTCTCTGGCTTCCCAAAATTTCTTCTTTAAAATAGGACAATTAAGTTAAATGATTGCAAAAGCTGTCTTCTGTCTTTAGAATGAAACAGTCTTTGAAGTTGGTTTCAAAATAAACATTCATAAAACTAGTTCTCTTTGACTTTATATTTTTTAATAAACATTTTACTTATTTTTGAAAACTTAATTGCTTACCTCATTATATTTAAATTTATCCACAATTTTTACACAATTATCTAAACAGAATTGAAAGTCACAAATTCAAATTTAAAATGCACATTATTCTTGAATTAGTTAAAAGAGTACTAATGTTTAGTCTTCATTACACTTGAATATGCAGAGTTACATTCACTTATATCTGAGAAGCTGAATTCTAAATAATTTTGAATACTGTGTGGGTTTATTGTTATTTGTTTGTTTATCATTTTTTGTCTTTTTGAGACAGGGTCTCCCTCTGCCATTTTGGCTGGCTTGAGCTCACTTTGTAGACCAGGCTGGTCTCAAACTTGCAACAATCCTCTTGCCTCAGCCTTCCAAGTGCTGGGATTGCAGGTGCATGCCATCACACCCAGCTGAATACTGTGTTTTAACTGGTAGATTTCTTCTTCAGAAATTCATCATTATCATGTACATAAAAAAGCATATTCAAGTTGTTTTAGGGATGTTTGTTTGGTTTTAAGTTATAATCACTTTTTAAAATTTTTATCATTTTTCTAATTTGCTTTTTGATTACAGTAAGATTGTTTTTTAAAAGGTCTCTCCTTTTCTTCTTACTCTTGTAATATTTTATTTTTCTCTCAGTCTTCCATAATACTGAAGGGGTAAATTACTGATCCTTAAAGGTAAAATCAGAGCTAACAACTAATTTTCTCTAAAATTTGCAATTTAAAAATCAAAAGTTTATAAATTATGTAATTTGTGAGAACCAAGACCAGACCATATGATTTATCATTCCTAAATCTTTAGCTTATCTGAAGAAAACTATTCTTTAGAAAGCCTTAATGGAAAATACTGTGACCTAATGGGTTTTTAAAGAGCAATGGTTTGAGTTTTAAGACAGCTACAATAAAGGAAGATTTTCAAGAGCCATAAATCCAATACCTACCTATCCAAATGAAAGTTTATCAATGGTATTGTAAGACATCTTTCAGAAAACTCTGTTACAGAAACTTATGTACTGCATTTTTTAGAGACAACTCTTTCAATGTAATGTTATTTTTCCATTCTCTTTCACTGCACATCATAAAGACAATGTGGAAAAAACTCAATGAAAGGCACGCATAGACCTTGCCTAACTTACTAGGATTGGCTGAATTTTGCAGTGGACATATAGCTAAAGGTGCCTCGTATGGTTTTCTGGATGATTCAAAATGCCACCACTAGATTGAAAACCTTTTCTTCAAAATTAAAGACTTTCATTTCTACTTTAAATCTTTGAAGCTTCTTCTATTCTTTTGTTACTTCCTGATGAATAACTAGAGGAATAACAGAGCCATTGTGGTGAATTTCATGCAAGTATTTGAATGTTAAAAAAAGACATGTTGTCATTTATTTTTAGCATTCACATACGACTTGTATTTTTCAAACTGTGAATTCAAAGATCAGAGATTTTTTTAAAATTACAGGAACAGGAGACCAGAATGTTTAATATACTTCATTAAAGAAAACAAAATCAGACTGCTCTCTGAGTAGAGCCAAGTTTCCCTGTTGTCCACAAATTCATAGGAATTGGATTCCTGTTTTAACATAACTATTCAATTTTTCATGGCACTTTACAGTTTGAATTCACATAACTGTTTCACATTTATTCTGAGTGAAGACTCACTATAAAATTGCTACAATAAATAAATATATTTATATATTTTTATTCTAGATGTTTTATTCTAGATAGATATATAGATAGATAGAGATATGTTTGTGATTCTTAACAATCATTCTTAACAATCTTAACAATTTTTCAGCGTGTGAGAATGTGGTAATAGTTAATCAAACTTATGGCATCCTGGAGAGCATAAATTATCCAAATCCGTATTCTAAAAACCAGCGTTGCAACTGGACCATCCAAGCAACAAAAGGCAACACTGTGAACTACACATTTGCAGCATTTGATTTGGAAAATTATACTAACTGTGCCACAGATTATTTAGAGGTAGGTATTCTGGAGCTCAATAATCACTTTATTTTCAGATCAAGTGGACAAATCAAACCAGAACTCATTTTTTTGTAGAATCAAATCCCTATAGATCCTGCCCTATATGTTTATAATACATCAACTACCCATGGCATTAGAACAGGTATATTTCATGTTTCTTTCAGTGTATCATTTTAATATTCAGGCTATTTAAGCGAGTAAACTGTGTGTAGGAAATATCTGTAGTTTTTGGTTTCATTGTAAGTTATGATTGACCGTTTATTATTCAAATTACCCACAAGTGGAGAGATAATCTCCATATTTTGTTGGTTGTTTTTAAAGTTCGTTTTCTATAAGTTAGACAGGGTGTTTGAGTATATTGGATTTATAGAATACCTGGTTTGCTTGGTATTCAGTATTATGTTTTTGATTCTCATTTTTATTTTAAAACTTTAGTTCATTTCCAATTCAGTTTTCTTTTAGAAAAATGTAATTTTCTGCTTGCTATAAAAAATGACCACAGTAATATTTATTCAACTCTGTATGAAATGCTACACAATAAGAGCTACTTGGCTATTAGGCAACCTCGACTTTGAGGAAATCTGCTACTGTTATTATAAAAATTTTTATTTAATAAAGCTTTGTCACTAACTTACAAATATATAACTTTTCTAAAGATTGAAAAGTTAGGCAATGCTCTATTTTACTTAGAATAATATAGTAATATTAATATAAAAATTTCATGTTACATAAACATTAATTTAGATACATTGCTTTCTGTTTTTATACTTTTAAAAACAATTTTATTTAAACTACTTATATAGATTTAACATTTATTTTTCATCATTAATATATCATTTCTTGAGTTTTAGATCATCTTTATTTCATCTATACTGTTAATACTTTTTGAATCTACCTATAATATTTTCACTAGAAATATTTTCTGATGTGACAAGTACCCCTCAGATGATATTAGAACATATTTCCCACATTTCTCTTTTAGAAAAGGACAGAAAAGTTACTTTTAAAGACCTTTATGTTCACAATACAAACACATCTGTTCATTGTATCTATATTTACTAGTTGTGACTGTCCTCATGCACTATTAGACTGTGGGGTTCTTAAAAGTACAGATTGAAACAAAAAGTGCACACTGAGTAACTTTTAGAGGTGTTGGCAAACTCAAATAAAAATACTTGTTCCAACAACTGCAGAGCAGTTCATTTGCGACTTCTGTGGATGATGTGTCTGTCATGTTACAGGCATGGCATTTCTCTTCTGCAACATTGATGATGAAAGCAAGAAAAAATATAAAATAAGAACCAGAAGTCCAGAAAAACTTTCCAAAGAATGACATGGTTGCCAAAAGGAGATTTTTTCCATCTCTGTAAGCCAAGAGGCAAGACGAGAGCAATAGCTAGAGTGACTGCTCTGTGATGGAAGTTTTAAAAGCATAAATAACCACTTCCGAGGAGAAAAGTCACAAGCACAAAAATCAGGCTTCTATTATTTTAATAACTGATTTTTTTTCAAATGACTTAGCCAAGTTCCAACTGAGTGGCTATTACTGGAGCCAGAGTTTAATTATTTTGAATTAATAAAACTGAAATTATAAGAAGACTTGATTAGGTACTGGAATGTTGCTGTGAGGGCTGGCCTGGTAAGGATCCTATTGAGAAGCAAATCTAACCTTTAATCTTTTTGTTCTCTGGGCAAAATCAAATATATCCAGTTTGGATATAAAATATTCAGTTGGAAGAAAGATCATTTTTTTAAAGGAATAAGAGTCACTTCTTAAAGGAGTAAGACCATATTATCCATGTAATTCTGGGGATATTAACCTTAAGGATTCTATCTGTATTTTATAATTTGATTCTATTTTTTCCTTTTTATTTTGAACCTGAGTCTCCATGTGGAAGGGGATATTTCTAATAGATGAATATATTGACAAGTACGCGATTTGTGAGACATCAGCATAGAAAGCCCAGGGGAGGTGCTAGATCAACAAGGAGCACGTTCAGGGTGAAGAGAGAAAGGAGAAACCCTTAAGAGATGACTGTGTTGGGGCTGGGGGTTTAGCTCAGCGGCATAAGCGCCTGCCTTGCAAGCAGGCGGTCGTGAGTTCGATCCCCGGTACCGATAAAAATGAAAAAAAAAAAAAAAAAAAAAAAAGAGATGACTGTGTTATGGAAACCAAAAGAAGAGATTATACTGGAAAGGGACAGTGATCAACACACTGAGATGCTCTCATGGTCAAGAAAGATCAGGGCTGAGAAGCATCCCTTTGAGATGTGTATGTTTGTGAGGAGCCTTTGTGAGGTGGCAGGAGCCAGATCACAGTGTGAAGAGGTGTGAGGCAGGGAGAGGTGAGCCTCGACAGAGTCCTCTGAAGCAAACCAGTCAATCATGGCTGCTTTTCTCTAGTTCTCCTCCAGACCAAGTCATGGCTTCTCTTCACTAGCCACCATCCTTCATTTCCAAAGTGTTCGAATGTGACAAGCGTTCATGAGGAATGTTCTTCTATATGTTCTTTTGTATGTCAGTGTCTCCTAAAATACGGCCTTCCAGAATGGGAGGCAACACTCCCACAGGCCAGGGCCAAATGGATTGGTTTTACATGATCTGGTTCAATACTTCTGATGTTATAGATTGAAGTTAAATGGGTCTTATTGTTAGCCAAGATTTAATACTGACCTATATGGAGATCTGTAATCTCTAGGCCACTTTTGCATGAATGTTATGGTTTCATAGCCTTAACTTACAGTTTGAAAATCTAAAAGGATATTATTCTAGTAAATTATATTTAACTTTGAGAAATTCCATCACACCTGGTCCCCCAAAACCTCATTCATTGTGCTTTAGAGAATTATGACTTGCACAGAAAGTCATTGGCCTACTACTTCTTCAAAAATAATGAATAAAAATATCACACGGGATGGTGCATCTTTCAAACACTGTAAAATGATAGATTTTTTGTTGTTGTTATTAGCATGGATCTACTATTGAATGCTTTGGAGCTAGCATTATTTAACAACTAGGTAATAACAGTGGCAAGTGTTTATTGAGTCTGTATTATTTTCTTGGTAATTCTAATAGCAACTGTAAAAGGAGAAAATAGTATTCTCATTTAAAGTTCAGAAAAATGAGGAAGGTATTGGTTGTCCATAGTTACAAAGATTACCAGTGACAAAGCCGGGCTGTATATCAAGCCATTGTGACTCTGGGCTCCTGCTCTTAGTCATAACACGCCATGGACACTTACTTTTGTTGCCCTCGCTAACATCATGAGTGAGGGTCTGAGGGGTCCTAAGATCTACTGCTTACTGACATAGAAATTTATATCATTGTAACATAATTTCTTCATTAAGGAAGCAGTCATTATTACAGTCACATTTTTTTTTATACATGTTGAAAATTATTTTTGGTTTCTGATTTGAAATTTTTTTCAAAAGTCACTGCCCCTAAACTCATCTGTGAGATTCCACAACAAATCTTTTCCACATTTTAGGAGTTGCAGATCATTGGCAGCCCTCCTCATTTTCCTTGATTTTGTTAATGCTCCTGATTGCAGGGATTTAAACACGCGCAACCTGAGCCTTGTGAAAAGGATTAACGCTTGGGCTAGTGGAGAGTAAGAGACTTCATGACACACAGGAGGGGTTGAGAAGCTGGGAAAAGCTCATAATTAAGGCAGTTAGAGGCACTCCATAATGTTTCTCCTTTAAGAGTTTGTTCCTTCTCTCTGGCCCCTGGCCATTCCCAACCATTTTTCTTTGTCTCTGTCTCTGTCTCTGTCTCTGTCTCTGTCTCTGTCTCTGTCTCTGTCTCTCTCTCTCTCTCTCTCTCTCTCTCTCTCTCTCTCTCTCTCTCTCTCTCTCTGCTTCTTCTGAGTTTCTGCAGTCCTGCAATTTGATCTTTGACATGGCTACTCCAGCTGTGACTACATGACCACATGTTGTCTGGGCTTATGAATTACTAAGTGAAAGGTCAAGAATACCTACATTTGACTCCAGTGTGATTTTCAAATAAACTTGGTTGCACTAAGCATCAACAAATTTATTAGTTCCCCATAGCAACAGCTAGCATTTCCTCAACTAATTACAGTGTCACGGAGGGCCGGCGTTTCACCCTGGTGGTAAAAAAATGTTGCTCAAGCTATGGTTTTGGAAAAGATGGGCCTCAGACTGAAAGATTTGGGAACGCTTTGTCCATTCTTTCATTCAAAAGGAATTTTGCAATTGAAAGGATATGGATGTGTAACAGATAATACTGCAAACATCTGGCAAACAGGATGACATCAGTAAGGATTTGGCAAGAGATTAAAAACATAAATGGTTGCAGGAAAATGTGTTTGACAGAAGTCACTGACTTCAACAAAACTGGAGCCTGCCTTAAGTGGGAAAGAGGAAGGGATAGAAAGGTATGAAAGAATCAGATGGCAGGAAATATTGGCAGACATGCCAAATAAGCCCAAATAAAGAGGACATCAACTTGAGTGACTGACATAGCTGTAACTGCCACAAGTGTCAATAGATGACTTATATGTAGAGACTTCTGTTTTAGTACATTTAGAAAATGCTGAATTACGCATTAAAATAGGGGTCTTTTGTCTGTGGTGCGTTCTAAGACTTTGACTCTTCATACCCATTTTCCATCACTTGTTAAGTCAGTAGAATATATTTTAGATTACTTAGGTTATGTAAATGTAACTGTTTATCATTAGCTTTTCCTGGTCATCAGGAAGTATACAGATATTAATTTATTTATCATAAAATAAGATGCACCCACGTGCAGTGTAAGTGTTAGAGGGAACACTAAAGGGTGCTTTAAGGGCCCATGACTGGTGACCAACTAATTCAGTGGGTCAGAGAGAGGAATCCCTGAGAAAGCAGATGCACGAAGGTGTCAGGATGCTTGTGTGCTCACTGTGGAAAATACTCTTTAGAGGATTTGACTGGAGAGTACTGTGGAGCTCCCAGGGCCTGGGGGCCTTGAACAAACAGAGCCCTGAGGACAGG